TAGAGATGGGGTGTCACCATGTTGGTCAGGTTAATCTCAAACTCCTGACCTCAGGTGATTCCACCCATCTCGGCCTCCCAAAGTGCTGGGATTACAGGCATGAGCCACCGTGCCCAGTCCCTTCTCTCTTTTTAATTAAAAAAATTTGCAGTAAAATATACTTAACATAAAATGTATCATTTTAACTATGTTTACAGGACCAATTCAGTGCATATACCTCTTCTTGCTTTAGTGATTTTTAAAGACTTGTTTCTTTTTGTTGTTGTTTTTGTTTTCATCTTTTAAGACTCATTTCTTTTGTGAATTCTTTTTCCCACTACAACTTTCTTTATTTCTGTTTCATCATTTCATGATAATTATGTGCTTCACAAATTTTGAACAGAATAGACAGATTCTTGGGAGTGAATGTTCCATAGGACCTTCCATAATTTGAAAATACACATAATCCAGGACAAATCCAAATAATAGAGTGTATTTAAAATTGTATTTTTAAACTTTTTATTGTAAAATAAGATACAAATACACAAACTTCCAAACACATAGCTTAATGAGTTAGGTGAACTCACATTAAGGGCTGAGTTTTCTGGCCAAGAAGGAAAGCTTTGCCAGCAAACCCAGAAACTCTCCATATTCCATCTCAGTTCCACTCCCCCGCTGTCCCCTGACCAAGTCTCGCTTTGTCACCCAGGCTGGAGTGCAATGGTGCAATCTCAGCTCACTGCAACCTCTGCCTCCCGGGTTCAAGTGATTATCCCACCTCAGCCTCTCAAGTAGCTGGGATTACAAGCACCCGCTATCATGCCTGGCAAATTTTTGTATTTTTAGTAGAGACAGGGTTTCACCATGTTGGCCAAGCTGGTCTGGAACTCCCAACCTCAGGTGATCCGCCTGCCTTGGCCTCCCAAAGTGCTGGGATTACAGGCATGAGTCACTGTGTCAGGCTTTTTTTTTTTTTTAAAGACAGTATCTCAGTTGCCCAGGCTCCTGGAGTGCAGTGTCACAATCATGGCTAATTGGCATGACAGTCTTGATCTCTTGGGCTCAAGTGATCCTCCCACTTTAGTCTTCTGAGTAATTGGTACTATGTGTGCATACCACCATGCCCAGCTATTTTTGTATTTTTAGTAGATATAAGGTTTCTCTATGCTTTCCCGGCTGGTCTCCTGGGCTCAAGCAATCCACCTTCCTCAGACTGCCAAAGTACTGAGATTACAGATGTGAACCACTGTGCCCAGCCACATCTCACTTTTAACGCCTGCCTTCTCTCCAAAAGTGACTACTGTTCTGACCCTTGAAGTTTGTAGAATTTTGTTATCAAAGTACATCCTGAGACACAATTGTTTAGTCTTGCTCATTAAGAAAAAAGTCAGGGCCGGGCATGGTGGCTCATGCGTGTAGTGTTAGCACTTTGGGAGGCTGAGGCAGGCAGATTGCCTGAGCTCAGGAGTTCAAGACCAGCCTGGGCAACACAGTGAAACCCTGTCTCTACTAAAATACAAAAAATTAGATAGGCGTGGTGACATATGCCTGTAGTCCCAGCTACTTGGAAGGCTGAGGCAGGAGAATAGGTTG